CTTTACAAAGTTGTTGTGATAATGAAATCAAATGATATAATTTATATATAATTATATAAATATCAGTTATTACTGGCTGGAAAAATTTCCCACATCAATAAAATTATAGACATAGAACTCCCCCTAAAAATATGCCTGCCCGCTACGCTAGGAAAATAAAGGCAAGAATGAAAAATTTTCCCCATCCAGGAGGTTACATTCTATTGTAGAGAAACAACGTGTTGATAGAAGAATAAGTACAAAATAAATGTAAAGTCTTCTTTGTGGGATGGAGAACCACTTCTTGCACTGATCAAGGAAGTTTCTACTTGAAGGAGTAAGGAAAGACCTCTTGAGGAGGTTGAAAAAGCCAACTTGGCCATTTCTGAAAATTTTAAATTTAATTATTTTGTGATTCTTTTGTTCTTCCTAAGGAGCAATGTGTCTAAAGGTAGAGTATCTTAAAGAAAAACTACTATCTATCTCTTGAGAATGAAATTGTCCTTGTATGTTATCCACAGATATTTAGTTGGGGGGGGAGAACATTGACCAATATAAGAGCAATGATGTATTTTTAAAGGAATGCTTTTCCAAATTAGCTGTAAACTCCTGTCTACAGGTGAATGACTATTTTTACATACACAGTAGCAGAACAATTACAGAATTGTACCAGCTTTGAATGTTTGGCCAGAACAAAGAACCACAAGGAGACAGTCCTCACAGTACCATGTTCTATAGAGACCCAGATGTAAGAATTGCTATGATCACAATGGCAACTGTAGGTGAAGCAACAGTCAAGAGGTGCTACTCCTTTTACTGTTTGTCTCCATTTCTCTCACTCTTAGTCACTGTCTTCTAGCTCCTTCCATACCTAATTGGCTGGTAAGGAATGAGAAGGATCTGATCTCAATACAAATCCCTAAGCACACAAGCATGCATAGAATGACAAGATCTTGAGTTTGACAACAAAGCGCCCAGAGGGAGATATAGAGAGGAGGCAGAAAGAGCCATCAGGACTAAACCACTACCACGATCACAGCTTCTCTTTAGACTCTTCATAATATGACACAGGACACCATGCCCAAGAACTCTAGAAAGAGCGGTGTACCCTCAGCACTGGTCCTGCCTCCGGACTGGTCTGAGCCTCCAACATTCAGGGACCAATAGCCATGGAGACATGGCCTGACAGCTATCTCTGCAGGTGCCACACCTCCTGCCTTCTCAATAGCCATAACTAATGAAAACCCAGGAAAGAAAGTCTTTATGACCAAAGTCCTTGGTACTATCAACTGGTTTGATATCAGAAACAGACATGCTTTGGGCACCAGAAATGGGGCTTTAGAAGTTGTCTTTTCTTTTTTTTTTTTAACATTAAGGGGCATAGGACTTGGATTCAAAGGACCTGGGTGTGAAATCCAGCTCTGCCATTTACTGACTGTGTTACCTTGGGTCACTTTACCTCTATTATTTATAAAATGTGGGGGCTGGACCTAATGATTGGTGAGATCTCTTTTGGCTCTTTACCTATGAAGGGGTCATATCACTTCTTTGTTCTACTTTTCATTATAAGGGCACAAGTATAACTTAAGGGAATTTCTCACATTTTTTGGTTCATTGTCTGACCCAGATAATCTGGGTACTTCCTATCTGTCACTGTCCAGTGTATTATCACCAACTTCCCTTAAAAGCGTATGGCTCACAAAGCTTGAGAATGAAAAGGACCATAGATTTAGAGCCACAAGATACCCTAAAGGTCATCTAGCCTAGCCCTCTCATTACTAAATCCCAGGGGATTTAGTAATATGTCTAAAAAGTATTGCGTAGGTTAGTAAGTTGCCAAGTTAGGACTAAAACCTAGGTCTTCTCTCCCTAAATCTACCACTTTTTCCATGTGCCAAGTTAGTCATTTCACAAACAGAATCTATATTGGAACCCAGACAGATAATAATATGCAGGGAACAATAAATGAACAATCCTTCCCAAATGGGGAGGGGGGGTGAACAGTCAATCCTTCTCCAGAGACCTGTGTAGCATCAGCCATTTATAAGCATGTTCTGGGTAGAGCGCTCACCTCTCAGTGAGTGGCCTCTCGGACTTCCATGGTTCACTATTTCATTTGATTTCCCCTATACAGTTTATCTCTCCATTGGTACAATATAGCACACTGTTCTGCTTGCAGTTGCAGATAGATGACATGCATGATTCCCTTTCCAAAGAAAGTAGCCCTCTCTCAAAACTATAGGGCCTTCAGAGTCTTTGTCATGACTGAGTGATTATAGTTCAAAATTGGGCTCCAGACTAACATGTCTCCATTTCCCTTGTATATGGTTCCCAAGACTTTGGATCTCACATATGAGTTTGCCCATAGGTCAGAAACCTACCTGTGTCCTTACTTGTGAGAAAGGAGCCTTTCACTCTCAAACACCTGATCTTCTCAGGTTTTCCTTGACAAAAGAGCAGATGGGGGAAGTCAAGCATGATTCTGGATAGCTTCTACTCTACATAGTAACAGATTTAAGGCATGATTTAGAATCTTTCTAAACCTATGTTTACACACATGGTGACAGAACAATTACAGAATTGTACTAACTGTGAACATTTGGTCAAACCAAACAACCACAAGTGATCTGTCTTTTCGGCAGGACATTCTACACAGGCCCAGAAGTAGGGGCTGCTTTGATTCTAAACACTCATCATCAAGCTGCCACGTCAGCTGATCTTCCCACTAATTAATAACAATAACTCATAATTTTGCAGCACTTTATGGCTCACAAAGCATTTTTTTCTCACAACAATCAGTTTTCATGGCTCCCAACAACTTTAAAGGGCAATGCAATTGTGTGTTTAAGAAGAGGCTGAGGAGAGGTAAGGGTGGGGGGCTGACACTATGTTGCTTTGTTGCTAAACCCATTCCCCACCACTACTGACCCCAAGATGATGATTCTGTAGCTTCTTCTTCCCATAGAGTTCCCTCATGGAAACCTGTAGCCTCTTTCTCTCGGCTTGAGAAAGCCTTGGGAAAGCCTGTCTTTGTTTTAATGTTTATTCTAAATTTATAAATAGTATTAATCAGAGGCATTTTTAGTCTGTATATATTATTGGGAATGCAGTTGGAAGGAGACAATTGAGAGGGAAGCATCTCCAGAGAAGAGAGAAACAGATCCAATATTGAGATGTTTTCTCAAACTACCATCTCTGGCTGGGGGCTCAGAAATGAAAGAAAGAAAGAAAGAAAGAAAGAAAGAAAGAAAGAAAGAAAGAAAGAAAGAAAGAAAGAAAGAAAGAAAGAAAGAAAGAAAGAAAGAAAGAAGAAAGAAAGAAAGAAAGAAAGAAAGAAAGAAAGAAAGAAAGAAAGAAAGAAAGAAAGAAAGAAAGAAAGAAAGAAAGAAAGAAAGAAAGAAAGAAGAAAGAAAGAAAGGAAGAAAGAGAGGGAGAGAGGGAGGGAGGGAGGGAGGAAGGAGGGAAGGAAGGAAGGAAGGAAGGAAGGAAGGAAGGAAGGAAGGAAGGAAGGAAGGGAAAAAGGCAGGCAGACAGACAAAAAGAAAGAAAAAAAGTAGACAGAATTACAGATTATTTAACGGTACTTCCCGTCATAGAGAAGAAGCATCTAGTTAGTAGTGGGGAAAGGATATGTGGCAAATAGGAGTGGTTAGACAGAACTGCTCATGATATCACCACTCCATCACCATGTATGTATACCCTTTGGCCCAGTCATATCACTACTAGGTATATACCCTAAAGAGACTGAACACAAAGAAAAATAATTCATATGAACAAATGTATTGATAGCAGTGCTTTAGTACTTTTTATTGTAGCAAAGAACAAAAAACAGAACAGGTACCCAACCCATCAAGTGGGATATGGCTAAACAAATTATGGTATATGAAAGTAATGGAATATTATTGGGCCATAAGGAAGACAAAAAGGATGGATTCAGAAAAACCTAGGAAGAGCTGTATGAGCTGATACAGAGCTCTGGGCAGAATAAGGAGAGTAGATCTTTGCTAGTTCCAATTTCATGGTTAAGGAAACATTGGAAAGAACAGTAAAAGTTTGTTGCTATGCTAGGTTGGTTATATTTTTAGTGGATAACTGCTTTCATTTCTCTTATTTTAAGTATTGAAAACTCAGACCCTAGACTCTGATTAGTGAGCTTTCATCTTAGACATCTAGCCCAGGCATGGTATCTGTCTTGAAACCCCACTTCCTTCACTCTTTCTAGTATGCCTCACTCTCCCCAACCTGTACTCATACTGTTAGTTGTAGGGTTTTCCCAGGCCCTGAGTCTACTATGATTTCCCAGGCATCTCTAAACCATGCCACTTGTACTCTGGACTCTTACAACTTGGACGTTGATTTCTGACTGGAGAGCTTTCAACTGATCTTTCCTGGTCCTGGTCCAACCACAAAACTTCTTGGACATCTACAAGCTATTCTTATTTGAGTACACCCTACTTCCAGCTCTTGTGCCACTAGATATCTTGTCTTGCCCTATGAAAATATAAACTTCTTGGGGGTGATTATCTTGCTTGCCTATATTTGTATCTTGGCACTTAACACACTTCCAGGCACATATTACAAACTTTAAAATTGTTTTTCCTTCCTTCCTTCCTTTCTTTCTTTCTTTCTTTCTTTCTTTCTTTCTCTTTCTTTCTTTCTTTCTTTCTTTCTTTCTCTTTCTTTCTTTCTTCTTTCTTTCTTTCTTTCTTTCTTTCTTTCTTCTTTCTTTCTTCTTTCTTTTTCTTTCTCTTTCTTTCTTTCTTTCTTTCTTTCTTTCTTTCTTTCTTTCTTTCTTTCTTTCTTTCTTTCTTTCTTCCTTCCTTCCTTCCTTCCTTCCTTCCTTCTTTCCTTCCTTCTTTCATTCCTTTGAACATACTATAGAGTCTATGTGACTCTAGTCCATTTCACTGAAATAATTTTGAAATGTTTACCTTCTTTTTGGAGGAAGGTTGGAAAATGTTACCTTGTATCCAAGGATTGGATTTTTTCTTTTCTGCTTACCATTTTTTTTTAATGTCCATGCAAAGCACAACTGTGACAAGTTCCTCTGAATCCCATTTATAGTATTTCTGAGTGGTCCTTTCGGAGAGGAAATGTTTATATGATGACTCTGGCTGCTTTCTGTTTTCTCATGCTGAATGGGAAATTCTGTTTATCCACTTGGAATGCTACAGTTAATGGGAAACAAATGATGGTCAGACATGTTTTAAACTTACAGCAAAGATTTTCTTGGTTTGAGTTCAGAGCCTTATCTTTAGATTTGGAATTTGGATCTTCCTTCTCTTTTTGAAATTTGAAATTAGTTTTATGCTAGTAATAAGATTCAAGTTCAGGATATCTGTCACTCTTGCCTCCATGGATATGATTTAAAAAGACATTTACATTGAAAGGAGTCCCAGTGAAGGGAAAAGAAATTTCTTTTCCATATTTGGTACTTATAGTGATTTATGTAAAAGTGTTTATGAATATAAAACAAAAACATTTGGTGGGAAGAAACAGAATAAATAAGTGGGCTTATGAGTCAGGAGAAACCTGAATTGTGTGACCATGGACAAATCACAGAATATCTCAAAGCTTCAATTTCCTTAACTATATGACATCATGGATCATGTCTTGACTTGCATGCGAATTGGATTTAAGTGAGGCAGAGTTGCACAGAGTCGTCAGCCTCACTCTGTCTTCCTGAGTCAGCAAAGTCCAGTGGTGAGACCTAAGTCAGGATGAGGGCAATTGGAACAGATTACCAACTTTTTAATTGTGCTAAGATTTTAAAAACAATTATTATTTGCATGGCATTTTTTAGAAATTGTTTTAAAGTCTAAATTTCATCCACAAAAGTCCTACCCTGATGCTTTTTCACAGATGATGTTGGGTTATCAAAAGCTGTGTCAGTGAATAACAAAAACTGGCACCTTCTAGGAATTTAGAAAAGGCTTAAGTTATGGTTCCAGACATAGCAGCTTGATTTATGACCTGAGGACTATTCTATTTAAGTATGGAGGTGGATGGTCACTAGGTAATGAATTCTTTGGCCATGGTGGTAGCTTCTTGGTGTAGCACCAGATCTGTAGTCAGAAAGACCTGAATTCAAATCCAGCCTCAGACTCTTACTAGCTGTGTGACCCTAGGCAAATTCACTTGACCTCTGCCTGCCTCAGTTTCCTCATATGTAATATGAGGATAATAATGGTACCTACCTTCCAAGGTTGTTGTAAGGATAATACGAACTATTTGTAAAGTGCTTTGCAATCTTTAAGGTGCTATGCAAATTCTAGTTATCATCATCATCATTATTGTTATTATTTTTATTATTGCCCCCAAAGCAGACAAAAATACAAAATGTTTCTCAATCAGGGCTCTTTTCTAAATCCACACTGATGGTAGTGGGATGGCAGAAGAGGGAGTAGAAAGCACTATGAATAATTGAACTGTTCATCATTCCCTTGATGTAAGATCTTTTTCCAATAACCAGTGAGTTGAATTTCAGTTCAGTCATTTTCCAGTTGTGTCCAACTCTTCTTGACCCCATTTGGGGTTTTCTTGGCAAAAATACTGGACTTGTTTGCCATTTCCTTCTCTAGCTCATTTTACAGATGAGGAAACTGAGGCAAAAGGGTGACTTGCCCAGGGTCACACAGCTAGTGAGGGTCTGAGGCCAGATTTGAATTCTGGAAGATAAGTCTTCCTGACTTCAGGCCCAGCATTCTATTCACTATGCCACCTACCTTCCCTTAGTGAGATGAAACACCCCTGAAAAAATTAAGTGCATCAATATCACAGGCATCAGAACCCCACAGGACCAGAAGATCCACACGGGTTACACTCTGTACCAAGGGAGGTTGTACCTGTACTGACAGGTAACAGATGCCAACTAGATGGTAAGCTTCATGAAGGCAGAGGGCAGTATCTTATTTCAACTTTCAAATCTCTCAGAATGTAACCCTGTACTCTGAACGAAATAGTTGGCTAACAAATATTTCTTGAATTGTCATGAAGATATATGTCCATTCCTATACCTACATCTAGGTCTATACATGAGAGGTAACATAGTACAGTGGATAGATGGACTTGGTATCAGGAATGCCTGGGTTCTAATCCCACTTCTGACACTAGCTGTGTAACTTTGGGCAAGACTTTTAATCACGCTACACTTCAACTTCCTCATTTGTAATTTTGTTATTCAGTTGTATCTGACTTCTCTTAACACCATTTTGGGGTTTTCTTGGCAAAGATGCTGCAGTGGTTTGCCATTTCCTTCTACAGCTCATTTTACAGATGAGGAAACTGAGGCAAACAGGTTAAGTGACTTGTCATACAGCTAGTAAATGTCTGAGGCTGGATTTGAACTCATGAAGATGAGTCTTCCTGATTCCAAGCCCAGTGCTCTATCTACTATGCCACCTAGCTGCCCTCTCATCTGTAAAAGAGGGTAATAATACTTAGTGGACTTTCCTTAGAGGGTTGTTGTGATGCCCAAATAAGGCAATATAAGTAAAGCACTTTGCAAATTTTAAAGTGCTACATAATGACTAATTATCAGTGTAAATAGTTGGCAACTTAAATTTGTGTGTGCAGATCCTGAAAAGAAAGCTGTCATCCTTACATGCATGTCTTATTTTGTAAGGATACCCCTTCAGTCCTTTACAAAATTGGCTTATTAGACATCTTGAACTGTTTTTCATATGCTTTCAACTTGATTGAAACCCCAAAAATTTTTTTTTGTATTTTTGCAAGGACTCTTTCCTTAGGACTGAATGCCATAGTACAAATTTGATTTATGATGATTCATTTACAGTTATTTCATTAAAATTTCATTTAGTCAGACCCCATTTCAACCTCACTCCCAGTCCTCCTCATCTTGAGGAAGAAATTACAATTTAAAACCGTGTAATAACCAAAAGTTCTACTCCAGTCTGAAATTCCAAATCTTTTCATTTTCAGAAGGTTCTGACTGGTCCATGGAGGTAATCTTTGGCTTAAAGAGATTTTCACTTGCTATCTCCATGATGTTATCCTACCATATTGAGAGGCAGCAAGGAGCAGTGGAAAGAGCATTGGAAGAGAGCTCAGAAGATTTAGGTCCAAAAATCAGCTCCTCTGCTTAAAAACTATAATTAATTTCTTAGACAAGGATTAATCTTTATCTTTTTTGTGTCACAGACCCCTTTAACAGTCTGGTGAAGCCTATGAACCCCTTCTCAAAATAATTAAATGCATAAAAGAAATACATATGATTACTAAGGAAACCAATTATATTGAAATGAATATGCCAAAATATTTTTTTAAAAAACCATTCACAGACCCCAGGTTAAGAACCCTTATCCTAGCGTCTCAGTTTCCTCATTCATAAAATGGGAATAATGATACTTGCCCTCTAAAACTTGAAGGACTATTTTAAGGATTAGGTGACATAATGTATGTAAAAGTCCCTTCCTGCCTAAAGCATTAGATAAATTTAAAGTGTATAGTCCTGAAGGTACATATAGCAGGCAATATGCAGATTTACATTTGTTTGTCAGACAATTTTTTTAGGATTAGATGCCAACTCTGAACACACAGAAATTTATAATGAGAAAAATAGGGGCATTAAAAAAAATCTCTGTATCAGTTTATCAAAAAGGCATTAATAAATAAGTACCTTTAAGTCTCCTTAAGAAGTTCTTAAAAGAACTGTCAGACTTCCTTCTAGAATCTGTTTGGTACTTGTTTTGGCTACATATGCACTAAAATCAGAAAGATACAGAGAAGATTTGCACAGCCTCTGAGCAAGGACAACATGCAAATTTGTGAAGCATTCCATATTTTTGAGAAAGAGAGAGGGAAGAAGGAGAAGAAGAAGAAGAAGAAGAAGAAGAAGAGAAGAAGAAGAAGAAGAAGAAGAAAAGAAGAAGAAGAAGAAGAAGAAGAGGAAGGAGAAGGAGAAGGAGAAGGAGAAGGAGAAGGAGAAGGAGAAGGAGAAGGAGAAGGAAGGAGAAGGAGGAGGAGGAGGAGGAGAAGAAGAAGAAGAAGAAGAAGAAGAAGAAGAAGAAGAAGAGAAGAAGAAGAAGAAGAAGAAGAAGAAGAAGAAGAAGAAGAAGAAGAAGAAGAAGACAAAGATTAAGGAAGAGGAGGAAGAGGAGGAGGAGGAGGAGGAGAGGAGAAGGCGAAGGCATTCTGAAACTTATGATACCATTGAAAGTGTTCTTAGTTTCCTGTAATGAAAACCAGGTTGAGATTACAAACAAGATCACAATATACAATGAGCTTTATATAGCATCATATTAATAAGATGTTATGGATTTCTTATAGCAGTGCTCTATTAAACATTATACTTTGAAAATTTTTGTACTATCCAGAACTTGTTTAGAGTTATTTAAATACGGTGCCTGTAACCTTTTACAAAATAAAGTTGACCTTTAGGCCCTTAGTAAGGAACCTAGTTCCCTATTGTGTGATATTTCTTTGGGGAAAGATGCAATTCAATTCAATTCAACAGACATTTCCTGAGTATCTATGTGATAGGTCCTGTGCCAGGGATGCCTTTTCCAGGAAAACATTTCAGCATTCTAATGGATTTGTGATCTTATTAATAACAACAACACATAATCACAACCCATCCATTCCTGCATGTCTTTAATGGCTTTCATCCATGTACTCCCAAATATTTGCCACAGAGGTTCTACCCAATGTGATGAGGGTTTTACATTCTCCTTAAGTTGTGTGAGTAAATAACCCTCTATAAATGAGAGAACTGCCTGTATTCTCTCTTTCATCTACGCTTCAGTCATAGCATTATAAACACATGTAGGGGACCAAATGAAAGGCCATACTTAAGTTCTTAGATAGTTTTTAAGCATTCTTACTTACAAATGTCTACTTAGTGATTTGCAAAAGAACATATGGAACTGAGTTTCCTGCATATAAGCATATAAATCTTTGTATAAACTGAATACTAAGAATGTTAGAAAGATACTTAAATGAGAAGATTTTGAAGAATCCAGTCTCTGTTTTCTATTATAGTTACTTCATATGTACCATAATCAAAGCCTGAAACTGAACTGGGAAGCAAAATGGAACTTTTATTTTTATGTTGAAAAGAGGATACAAAACATTTTGGTTAGTAATTATAAAAAGTTACTCAAATGGATTTAGTTCTGCCCACTTTTCTTACATACTAACTTAAGGCCAAGGCTTTGGTTATTCATAACACTTCATTGCATCACATGGCACTTTAGAAGGCACTGTCAGTATAGCTTTTCAGGATGTCTCAATAACACCTAAGATGCTTCCATATACATTGTATAAGAGGTATAAATTACAGGTAGAGTTGGGAACCTGCTGAAGTATACTTGGGAAAGAGAAAGAGAAAATGAGAGTGAGGTGAAGTACCAGGTAAGAACTGGTAGATGTGCCTGCTGAACCAATGTGAGTATCAGTCATATTTAAAAGAAAGATCATGAAGAATGAGAAAATTGCTGCATTTTTATTGATGGCTTAGATAAAGGCATGGATAGCAAAATTTGCTAGGTGATGAAAAGTATGAATGACAAGTTAAATGAATCAGGATCCAAAAATAGATTTCAACAGATAGGAAGATTAGGCCAAATCAAATAAGATGAACATAAACAGGAAAAAGTATAAAATCTTACCCTTGGGGTTCAAAAAAAATCATGATTATAATATGGGATAGGTATGATTCCATAGCAGTTCATCTGAAAAAGAAATGAGGGTATTAGTAGACTGAAAGTTCAATAGGAACAAAGTTTATTATGGAAGCCAATAAAAGATAATTATGATCTATAAATTGCTTTGCAAACTTTAAGGCACTATATAAGTGTAGAGGAAGAGGAAGAAAAGAAAGAAGAGGAAAGAGAAGAAAAAGAAAGAAGAAATGAGAAGTCTGACAATGGCTTATGCCACTCTATTTATAGAATAGAATCAATCTTTTGCTTCTGCATGGAGGCTATGAAATAGTTAAGATCCAAGAGTGTAATGAAAGGCCATCCTTGGGTGACATCTACTTGAATTTAACAACACTATTATATGTCAATAAAAAATTCTATAAATGGTTGTCATGTGGATTTGCTTATATTAATAAGGTTCTTGTGAAAATTATATAGAAATGTAAGATGAAGGGAAGGAGGAGAAGGAGGAGGAGGAGGAGAAGAAGAAGATGATGATGATAATGATGATGATGATGATGAAGACAATGATGATGACAATAACAACTAATTTATCATCTGTGTCATGGAGTTGGGTGGTGGGCCAACACCAAACTCAAGGAATGCCAGTCACAATAATAGACATCAGGATCACTGTGTACTCTGAGACTCCAGTGGTAGTTGTGAAGACCTGGCCTAAAATACTGCCCTCTGATGACACCACTGGTTGAGTTAGAACCTTATCCAGTGTGAGGTAACTACTCATATGAATCCAAAAAAATAAATAGGGCAGTATAGAATTGCAGGCCAGTTCTACTCAGATCAGTGTGACATGAAGGCCAGAGGAAAGAGTCATGCCTCTTCACTTTTTTTTTTTGCTTTTTGGTGAGGCAATGGGGTTAAGTGACTTGCCCAGGGTCACACAGCTAGTAAGTGTACTGCGCCACATAGCAGCCCCCAAAATGGAGGACCCTCTTCATATTCTTGTACCACAAGAAGGTAAGTACAATTCAGAAATGCAAATATCTCATCTGCTGGAAATATTTCAATACAGACAGCACTGACCCTGAAGCAGATAAGCTCAAAATGGACTGAAGACATGTATGCTTTTATTATGCAACAGAATTTTATCATAAAAATGTAAACAAATCTTACTGATTTTAGGCAAGGATTTCATATTGCTTTTTGTCAGTGATATTTCTGTTTCAAAATACATAACTACATAATACATATCAGTGCAGGGCATTCCAAAGAAATAACAGTTTCTAAGTCCAGATTAGATGAAACTGCTTGCTACTATTTGGCTTGCCTCTTAAAGGATAGTGTTAATTGCTTCATCACTCCTTTTGGGACAACTGGACTATAGAGCAAATACACTGGAGCGTTAACTGACAGTAACGTATCTTTCATGACTCTGAATACCTCTAGGAGCTAAGCTATTTTAACTTTCTGTTGCTTGACACCCAGGGTTCACATAACCTTTATACAAAAGGTCTCTTCTAGTAACTGTGGGAAGATTGCTTTCAAATGGTTCTGTTTTTAACTCTGGGACAGTTCACAGTGACTCCATAGCCATTAACTCCTTCCTTTTTCCAGCATCTAGATGCTGTGCTTCCCACTTATGCCAATACCTCCCATTGAGTCTTTTGGGGTTCAGAGAGGAACTCAGTCTTATTTAATTATCTTCTTGTCTCTCATCTTCCTCCACCTTCCTTCTAATGCCTTACTCTCCTCCCCACCTCCCCAACCCCAGCCTTGTATTCTTTGAGCCAGTGACACTGACCTCCTTTGCTGGTCCCCACAGAAGATACTCCATCTCCCAGTTCCAGGCATTTTCACTGGCTGTCCCCTGCTTGGAATTCCCTTCTTCTTCATCTCTGCCCCCAAGATTTCCTGTCTTCCTTCAAGACTCTGCTAAAATGCCACCTTCTACAAGAAGCCTTTCCCCAATCCCTTTATTGCCATTGATTATCTGCAATTTATTCTGCATATGGCTTGCTTGTACAAAGTTGTTAAGTTACCTTCCCCATAGACTGGGAGCTCCCTGAGAGCAGGGCCTATCTTTTGCCTTTCATTGTATCCCCTAGTACTTAGCAGAGGGTCTGGCACATAATGGGTTTTTAATAAATGTTATTGGCTGACTGACTCCATGGCATCTGGGTTTGGTTATGCAAATTTCCTGGGGTTGCTTCTCAAAGAGCTTCCAAAAGGAAGGAGACAGAGTCAGATCCAAAAGCTTCCAGAAGCTGATCCCAGCATAAGATGCTATGACTCAGAGGGGGAGGAACAACCTCTTAGTACCATAGTGAAGTACATAGCATAATGAGTGTGTATTATGGTTGCATGACCTGGATTTCATCAGTATAGAGAATTCTGTGTGAGAAAACTCCCTCTATTAATGAAGATTAGTGCTTGCTCTGCAATTTATAGTCTTAGAGAGTTGGTTAAAGATTAAGTGATCTATCCCGGGTCATATAGTTTGGGGTTACTTATCCAGAGTGAGAGGTAAAATGCCAAAGTATACAGAGCTATCTCAATGTCAGGAAGAACCAGGTTCAAGTCCTGCACGCAGAAGGAACTCAAATGTTTGTTGAATTGAATTCAAATCCACTTAAATTTAAAGGTTTCGCTTTTTAAAATTTCTTCCAAATATTGTGTTCATTTTAACAGTTAAAGTTAAATACATGGTTAAATCTTCCAGATGTTTTTGTTTTTGGATGACATTGTGGTGATTGCATCAAGCCCCAACACATTGTAGAGCCTACTGAAAGAGATCTGTAATCACACCAAGGACTTTGGCCTTTCCATCAACACAGGAAATACCAAATGGATGAAGGATGTCTATTGCTCAGATTTCAACACGCATCTAAATGGACACCCTCTTGAACCTGTCCAACAGAATGTACATCTGACATAGATAACATAGGTAGGCAATGAACTGGGTCCAGTGTTGAAAAGGAGAAGATTGAGATGGACAGTTTTCAGGAAATTGCAAAGCACCTTTAATGACCCTAAGTTTCCTGTAACAGCAAAGACTCATATTTTCAATATCAGTGTTGCCCAATGGCAGCAAATCTGGAATATACGTGCATCTAAAGAAATAAAGATGAACATCACACAATGGAAAGGTGCATGGTGTGTGTGTGTGTGTGTGTGTGTGTGTGTGTGTGTGTGTGTGTGTGTGAACAGGCTGTAACATACAACCATTGAGGAACTTCAAAGAAGAATAGGAGCAAAAGATCTCTTCAAGGAAAGATGCAACAAAATAAGCTAGGGTCAGGAGTATGCTAGAGACAACTTATACTGGCTCACAAGAACCATGAAATTTTTAGTGTGAACATGTACGTGCTGGAAATCAATAAATGGTAGTAGTCTTGCATCTTGGGATCTGTACACCATTCCCTACTTCTGAAACGTACCTGATTAAGAACAGTTGGCAGTCATTTAATGATAAATAGAAGCATGGAATTAGAGCTAAATGGATCCTTAGAGATCTTCTTGTCCAATCCTCTTCATTTTTTCCAGTGAAGGAACTTAATGATCAAATTCACATATGTATTAAGTGGAAGCAATTAGATTTTTGTCGCCAGTGACTCAGTGTTGCATCAACTGGAAGAGTGTGAAATGAAGAGACTGGGCCAGGTGGGTCAGTGAAAGACTGAGCCATTTATTATTCTGAAGGTCCAGTTTAAATAGTGAAAGCTAACAATCACCCCTGAGGCATTCCCACAATTCTTACTGTGACTAACCCCAGCCCTTATGCATATCCTTAGTGGTTCACACCTGCTTGCTATCAAGGTCTAAGGGCCAGAGTGTTTTAACACCTCCTAGGCAGGGGAAATTGGTGAGCCAAATATTCTGAATAAATAAGCCCTTACAGGTAGGAAGAGGAAAGCTCTAACCTAAATTCCTTATCCCATATTAGACTCTTCAGCTCTGGCCCTCAACAAATCCCCTTTTCTGTTTTTAAAATTGACTTAAGGTGATGAACATCTGTACCCAAAGACTTGAACCATGATTTTGACGTAGATAATATAATAAGCAATAATGAGATATAACAAACAATGTTGCCCATGAAAACAGATGACAAAGTAAAGCAGGCACTTTTTAAATATATTGGTTACGCCCAATTTTCCAGAATTTCTCGGGCTAGGTTCCGGGGTTGAGTCCCTGGGAAATGACTGTTAGCAAAAGACAAATCAGAATCAAAGATCTCCAATAAATTCAACACTATGTCAATGATACCTTCCAAGCCAATGCTCCAGTATATACAATAAGTGATACGAAGGATACAATATCCCACATAGCACAATGAAGCTGTTGCCAAATGATATTGATGAGACAATAAATGATACAAATAATACAATATCCCAGACAACACAATGATCAAAAGTCACCTCTATCCTAAAACACATTGGAAGCATACTGGCTTTCCCTTTGCCATGGCATAATCCCCCTGCAAGGTGGTAAGCAATGCAAACATGACTCTCTTTGTACGATGTTAGTCACTTTAGCAATGTGTCCTGGGGTTGACTGTTCCCTTGAGAAATCACATTCCACGGTGGAGGAGAGGAGAAGACTTAATTCTAACCAGCTTGCCCTTGTAAAATGAAAGAGTACATTGTACAGGCACTGAAGAAAAACAACACCTCAAGGCTGCAGGGAAAATGAGACTCAATGCTTTTATCAAACTCCAGGGTCTTGCTCCCATAAACCTTAAAGTGTTTTTCAGCTGGGGTATAGCCTTCTTATCAGATGTAAGAAAATTTAGAGCATATACCACTTGTGCCAATTGCCTTTGTGGCCTTCCCCTTACTTCTCCCCCTTTTTGCTTTTGAAGAAGCCTTTTCAGGGATCTATTTTTTCGTTCCACCATTGTTTGTCCCGTAGGGTTATCTGGGATTCCAGTGTTGTGTTTTATTTGGAAAAGCATGAAAAACATTCCATTATTATTTTTCTCCCTTTATTCAAAGGACAGTCAATGCCACTAGACTGGTTAGAATTAGTGAAAACAGATGCATTATCTGTGGTGTTCTATAGCAGAATGACTG